CCATCCATCCATCCATCCATCCACCCATCCATCCATCCACCCATCCATCCATCCATCCTTTCACTCCCATCTGAGTTCACCAAGCAGCTGCTTGTCAGGCCTAGAGACAGGAAAGGAGGTTGAATGCCACCTCTCCCACTGTAGAAGGTACTGTCACACTGTCACAAATTTTGCTACTGACACTTAGGTCATTTGTGATTTTCGTGGATCACAGACACTGCTGTGTGGAACAAGGACTGATGAATAACAGGTAACCAGACTCCTTGCCCTTCTACTTATTAAGATCTATTTTAAAACCCAGAGCGATCAGGATAGTTGAAAAAGGAAATCTAGAAAAGAATGAAGCTCAAATGGGGACTTTCTGTATCACAGAAATGGCATTTCAGGTCTCAGGACAAAGAGGAGATGATCTGACCCGCACTATAAGCCACATGATCCATGCTTGGGGAAAACAGGGAGACAGATCTCCCATGTTCCAAAATAATTAATAATTAATAATAATTAATAATAATAAATAATAATTAATAAATAATTAAAACTTTGCACGAAAATCTTGAATCAGAAAAGGACCTGGAAAAAATACAAATTAGGGCAAATTCAACTTTGCTCTGAAGAAGGCCTTTATAAATTTGGCCCGCAAATTAGAAAAATGTTCCAGTAACTCATCGCATGACAATACAGGTATGTAAACATCGAGGCCTCAAAATGCCACTTGTACAAAGTTATAAGACAAGCAATAAACCAGAGGAGCAAATTCACATCATTTATGGACAGCCACACTTAAAATACTTCTTAAAACTTTATCAGAAAAATATAACATTGAACCAAATACCTTAATGGGCTTTAGCCCTATAAAAAAAAAAATACCCCAAGGTGCAAGGTACATACGAAAATATATGCCCACTGGATAATGCTCAGATAATGGAAATTAAAACAATGTAATGCCATTATTTTTGAGTATCAAAAAGGCAAAGATTTCAAAGAAACATAATCCCCAGGGCAGGTGCAGATCTGTGGCCAGTGGGGGCCAGAGCTACACAGTCTTCTGGGGGGGCCATCTAACCCCAGCACTTTAAAGCACGTGTCCTCTGAACATTTCCCTTTCATCCACCATGGAAAAGTTTTCCTAACTTCCACACAGTCAACACAGTTAACCTTTCCTCTGTCTCACCAACCTGTCCTAAACTGCAGGGACCTGTGGCATTGCCCAGATCAGTGACTTCTCTCTATGGCGGGGGTCCCCGGGACCCCTGAGTCAAGTCTGTGGGGACCAACACAGTTTTCCAGGAACTCACTCTACCCTGCATGTACCCACCCACGGTCATTTCCTGGAGTGACAGTGGAGGAGTCGGAGCTAAAAGTGAGCTCTTCGCTTGTCTCAAAGTCTCACCCCAAGACGCCTCCCAGCCCTCCTGCAGCTCACCAGAAGCACACGCTGTGCCCAGGAGCCTGAGAGCACAGGCTGCCCACCAGAGTCTTGCAACACCGTGGGCAGGTCTCACGGTCAGGACGGGCTTCATAGGACCCAATCGCACTCCAGCAGTGAGTCAGCAACAAAGAGTGAAGACAGAAGGAAGGCAAGGGAACCCAATAAAACAAGATGAGGGCAAGGTGGGTGGCTATGCACAGAAAGCTCTAGTAACTCAGAATCTAGAAAAAACCTGAAAGAAAGGTGTGTGTGTATGTCTCTCTGTGTGTCTGTGTGTCTGTGTGCCTATGTCTGTGTGAGGGTGTATCAGAGAGGAGTGGGGAAAAAGATTTGCTGAAGGTCCAAAGGGCCCAGAGGTGTGGAAGGCTCTACAGGCCCCGTTTATGTCAGCATGAATGCCCCGTGGCTCTGGGGAGGTGACAAGCAGGATGCAGGGTGCAGCATCCTCAGCACACCTCACGGGGCCTGCTGACCTCCCAGGGGGGCAGTGCCAGGTAGTCCTGCTGCTTAAGAGACTTGAAGAACTGAATAGCTGGCACCTGGGGTACAGGCTGGCCTGGGGGTTTCTTGACTGGGAAACCCCTATCTATGTCTCCAGTCCTGATCTCTGGACAGGGTACTGGGGAGGATGGCTTGCTCCGGGGTGAGAGGGGACCAGTTCCCAGGCCAGGGAGGAAGCAGTAGTCCCCCACCTGCTGCAGGACAAGCAGCCCCTCAGGGGTTGGGGACAGTGGGGACACATCTGCCAGGGGCTCTCCTGGGCTCAGGACAGGGCCGCTGGATGAAGGAGGGACAGGACTGCCCAGAGAGGACTTGGGGGATGGCCCCATGGTGGGAGGGAGCTCTACGTAGCCCTCAAACCCTGGCTTCCCAGGCGCTGGGGCTGCAGGAGGCCCACCAGGCAGCCCTGGACAGAGGCTGGGGTTCTGGAGGCCTGCAGGGGGAGCCAGATGAAGGGAGCCAGATGAAGCCCCTGTGGACAAGGTGAGGGCCAGCTCTGCAGTGGTGACATAACCAGTGGCCACGGCAGGGTGCTCAGCATCCCCAGAGCTTGTGGGCAGAACGACTGGGCTATCCTCTGGGTCCTGTCCCTGGCGTTCTGGCTCAGATGCAGGAGGGGCAGGGCCTCCCCCAGCTTCCAGGTAGGGGGTGCTGCCCAGCGTGCCAGGTCCAGGCGGACACTCCCCGGGGGCAGCCTGGCCCTGCCCTGTGACCTGGGTCAGGGGGACCAGCTGCACCTGTCCCCCGGGGGGCAGACACAGGTACTCCAGGGAGCCCGGCAGTGCTGGCTTGGGAGCATGCGGGGGAGCCTGCTGGCTTGCGAGGTCAGGCAGGGAGCGGCTCTGGGGCGGCCCCAGGTAGGGGCCATTGAAGTCGAAGGTGGCCAGCTGGTCCTCAGGCCGGCCCTGGGGGGCTGGTGGGCCTGGCTGGACACTGGGGGGCTGCTCCGGGGGCAGGTCTGAGGCAGCCGGAGTGGAATGAGGCCCCGCCGGAGGATCACAGACGACTTTGGGGTCCTCTGTGGTGAGAGGCGACACCTCACTGTCCCTGAAATCGACAGCGCACACCCTGTGGGGAGCACAGAGGCGAGCTGTGGAGGCTGCCTGGAAGAGCACAGGGCGGGCACAGCGTGCGGGGAGGGGCAGGAAGGCCAGGTCCCACACTCACCCCTCCAGCTCAGGGAAGAGGCCGGCCCCGATTCCCAGGGAAGGGGCGCCTCTGCTGGCGAAGGCCATCGTGCTGTCTGGGAGCCTGAGCCCGGCACTTCCGTTCTGGAGGAGAAGGGCCCGTGTGAGTGGGGACCTGGGGTGGCGGGGAGAGGACAGCCCAGGGGAATCCAGTGGCCCTGACACGGGACTGACCTCCACACTGTCAGGACTGGACCCCAGCCCCAGCAAAGGCACAGCAGCCCTGCCAGCGCCACAGGGCTCCTGTCAGGATGCCAGCTGGCATCCACCACGGTCACCTTGCCTCGGTGGTGCCCTGGCGTCCTGACTGTCCCTCCTCAGGGCCCTCGGGAAGGGTCCATCTCCACCCTCGGGGCTCCTTACAGGAGTCCCCGTCCCACCTGGCTCCCCCTAGACCCTCAGGCTCAGCTCAGTCCTGCTCTGGCGGCCCCTCTGCCTCCCCCGCCCCATGGCCTGGGACCGGCAGCCCCTCCTGGCTCAGCCTGGTTGTGGGACCCGTTTCTCAGGTCCCCGCGTGGGCCGAGGCATAGCTCAGCAGGGACCGGGCTGTGTGCCCCTCCAGGTGCCCAGAGGACCCTGGGGACCTACTTCCTGTCGCCTCACTCCTCAGCTCCCAGGGTGAGGCGCCTGCACCCAGACCACACACAGGCAGGCAGGGGAGCAGATGGCCGGGGGAGGGACACGGGCAGGAGCAGAGGCCCCACCTTCTCCACAGGTGGGTCCTACCTGGAAGAGGTGGCTCTTGCTGGGGTTGGGGATTTTCTCCTTCCACTTCCTGTTCAGCCTGGAACACACCAGGGAGGGGACAGTCACCAGAGCCCTCAGGGCCAACTTCTCCCTTGCCTTGTGCAGAGGGGAAACTGAGCCCGGGGGGGGGGGGGGGAGCAGGGAGGGAGGGAGCCAGGCTGTGCCATCCCTGGCGCCCTGGGGTCCTGGGTGCCTCACCTGTAGCCGTAGAGGCCACAGAAGCGCAGGGCCAGGAGCAGGGCCAGGGTGACGAAGACCAGGATGAGTGCCAGCACCCAGGTGGGCAGCGCTGGTGGGAACAGGAAGAGAGCAGTTAGGATGGGGGAAGGGTCGGGGGAGAGGGGTCCCAGGACCCCTGCGGGTGTGTGCTGGGCTGGTTGTCACTGAGACGAACTGGGTAGGGAGGCCATGGTGCTCAGGAGGGGGGACAGGGCTGACCCCACAGAACTCTGGTGCAGGACAGAGAGGGTCAGGACTTTCTGAGACGGCGGCTCGGGCACTGGGCTGCTGGCCACAGGAGGGCTGGGTGCAGGGGAGGAGGACTGGGCAGATACCAGCAAGCAAAGGCCCTCAGGAGCCCTGCTTCCTGCCCCACCACCCGGAGCCTCCGGCCTGGCCCAGGAGCCCTGCCCCCTCCCCTGGCCCCAAGTCCAGCCCTGCCCCTTCCTGCCTGTAGCCCCTCCCCAGCCCCCCCTGCTCCTTCTGCCTGGGACCCCGTGCTCTCCCTGGCACCATCTCTACCCTCTCTCTGAAGTACCCGGACCTCCCACTGCCCGTGTGTCCAGATGCCCGCTGTGTGGAGAGCCGAGGGGCACACGCAGTCCACAAGTGTGAGGAGGGGGCACAGGTGAGACCCGAGGCCTAAGCTCCCCATCCCAGGCCAGCTGGACGCCTGATGTCTTTGGTGCTTTGGACCAGGAGCCCCAGGCTGACCAGTCACCGGGTAGTGGGTGCCTCGAAGCCAATGAAACCTAAGGCCCTATTCACAGGGGCCTCCGCCCCAGTTGGGAGGAGGCGGGATCGGGAGACGGCTCCTCTGCTTGCTCAGGTCCTCACCTGCTATCTGTGTTCATATCATTTTTCCACGTTGAAATGAAACCTGAATCCTGAGGTTCTGGTTTAGCAAAACAACTCTTATCCAGCGTGGGTGACTTGGCTCTTGTGCTGACAGAGAAAGCTCTGCATGCGCACTGTAGGACAGATGCCACAGGCTCACCACCTCTGTGCTAAGGACGATGACTGACAGGAGGGACAGGGCACGTCTTGTCCTCCTGTCCAGGAACAGCGCAGGCGTCCAGGAGACCTACCCCACTCAGTGGTCCAGCTCTGCTCCTTGCTCCACTCGCTCCAGATCCCCTTGTAGGCACCTTCGGGGCTGGGCATGACCCTCACCCTGGCCTGGTAGGTGGTGGCCGGCTCCAGCGGGGGCAGCGGCATGCTGTGGGTGTTCTTCAGGTTCTCAGTCTTGCTGTCCTGTGGGAGCAGGGACTGAGGCCGAGGCCTGGCCTGGTGCCGGGTGCCGTGACATCCCCTTACCCTCTCTCCCAGGTCCCCTGTGGGGCTGGTTCCACCTCTGACAGCACAGATGTGAGGAGGCCAGGGACCAGACCCCATGGAGTCCTTCCACTGTCATCTGCTGGAAACTCCTCGGCCTCCCAGGCGTCTGAGCACCCCATTCCCTGCTGATCCAGGACTGGGGAGCAGGTTGACTGGGCTCTGGGCTCTGAGACAGGAGACCAGGGGCCTGGCCTCCTCCTCACTCCACACTGACCACTTTCCCGTCTCCTGCTCCACCCCAGCCCCAGCCTCTGGGCCACGCTGAGTTCTCTGTGGGGTCTGAGGGGCCTGGGGTCTGCACAGACTGCAATTTCAGGGCAGATAAGCTTCCAGAAGGAAATGTCTCTAGGATTTGGTGACTTCTGAAGGGCCTTCGTCTCAGCGGTGTCAGCCCAGCCTGCCCCGAGGGTGTCGTTTGTCCTTTGCAACTCAGCCTCAGCTGTGGCCCCGTGGCCTGATCACATCACCTCTCTGAGCCTCAGCTCCACCCCAAGTGGTGCAACGATGTGCACACAGAGATGGGCTCACCATGTCCTACCCATGTCTGCCTCTGAGCGGTCACCTCTGTGGCTGGCATGGGGACAAGGTGCCCTTCCGTGTGCCCCCTCCCTCTCCTGCCTCCCCAACCCCAGCCAGGTGCTCACCTCCCATGAGTCCTCCTCTTTCTTGTACTGGATCTGGAAGGTGTGCTCGATGTGTGAATAGTGCATTTTCTCTGTCACCCAGCGCAGGCTGTAGCTGTCTCCGTCCTTGGTCACATTGAGGGTTGGGGCTGCCATCTGGACTGGAGGGAGGGAAGTTTTTAGGGGTGGTCATGACCTCCACCCTCCAGGGGAACCTTTCTGTCTCCTATGCCAGTCAGGTCCTGTCCCTGTCTCATTCAGCTTCCTCATGTCCTGGCATCTTGAGGTCTTTGCACCTCCCCTTTCTACTTTATCACCTGAGCAACCCCTCTGCTAGGAGACCTCAAAGACACCTATGCTGTGTGGGGGCTGAAAGACTGGCTTCCTCTTGCTGCCTGGAGTCTAAGTGCAACCAGCACATGTTGGGTCATTCTAGAATATCGACCGTGTTCTAGCAAAGACGACGCCCAGCAGCGTAGCTCTGTAGTCCCGGCACAGTTGTTCCTCAAGGCTGGTTCAGAGCCCCTGAGATCATCTATCTAGGGTACCCTGTCCAAGCCATAGGAGATGGCTCTCCTTACCCAAAATACCACCAGACTGCAGCAGTGAGTCTTCAACCTCGTTGGGTGACCCGCTCCCCCCGTCGGGGGGTGACCAAACAGACAGGTGAAGCCGTTCTGTGACAGCTCCGCCCACTTGGTCTTTTTAGTCCACAAAGTGGAAAATACGAAGGACAGAGAAAGCAGAAAGTGGGTGTGGATCTAGGGGTTCTGCACTCTAGCTTTGAATCATCTCCCATTGACTGTGGAACTTTTTTTTTTTTTTTTTTTTTTTGTTTTTCTCCAGTACCGGGAACCGAACTCACGACCTTGCGCTTGCCAGGCAGGCGCTTTGCCATTGAGCTAAATCCCCAGCCCCGACTGTGGAACTTTTAAGCCAGTCACTCAACCGCTCTGAGCTGCAGTCTATCGATCAGATTGAGAAGGAGACTGCTCAGAATTTTCACGACTCACAGGCCTTTTATAAGGCACTGTGAGGTGTTCTATGTCCCAGGCATTACTCTAGGCTCTCTGGACACTTGAACTCCAGGAACCCCCTTTCCAGGAGGGACCCCCAAGATGTGTGAGTGGTGGATTCCAACCCAGATGAACAGGCCACTGACTTCGGCAAGCCCTAATGCACGGGTAGAGGAGTGTGGCCGTCAGGAGCCACTGCACACAGGGGGCCCCTTGCACTGGGGTCTTTGCTACTCAATGGAAATGCGTGATACTGACATGCAGGGATCGACGGTCTGTGTGCACACACCTGGGCCCTGTGGAAAAGTGAGTCATTTGTCCATATTGAGAAAAATGCAAACGACTTTGGAAATCAGTAAATGAAAAATCTACTCAGGGAAGGAGAGCGGTTTGGTGGGAGGATCCTGAGGGTGTGGATGTGGGTGGAGCTGTGGAGTAGCTACCGCAGGAAAGGAGGCCTGAGGGAAGGGTTGAAGGAAGCTGATTTAATGACCTGGTCTCCGTGTGGTCCATCTTCCCCTCCTTATCACAGTCCCTGCTAAACCATCACACCTCGAGAACTTACACAGAACATCAGAAGAATCAGTTCCCTTTCAGGCACTGCTCTGACTTTCTCTGAAGGTGACAAACAGAAGGACTGGAGCAGGAGGATGCCTAGATCTCCTGGGGTGACCCGAGGACCCCTTCAGTCCCGAGAGCCCGCAGGGAAGCCGGGCAAACTCACTGTGGTCTGAGCTCTTTATGAATTTCTCCTCACTCCGAGGACGCACGGCCACAGTGTACTGGCTGTGGGGCGCCGGGCTGGAGACGCGGATCCGGCAGGAGTGGAGGGTGTAGAGGCCGCCGAGCTCCTCCCTGTGCACCTGGGGACATTCCTCCTCCCTGAGGAGCACACGCAGCTGAGGTCAGGGACGAGGGTGGGACCACGGAGGGCTGAGACCTCAGCTGGGCAGTGGCTTCTGCCAGAGCGCTGGGATAGGAGGAGGCCTGGGCAGGGAAGGCCGAGAGCAGGGGAGGGACAGACAAGGACACTCACTCTGCGTCTGGGCTGGACCTGTAGAACAGGCCAAAGGAGACTGAGCTGGTCACCTGGGACTTCACCTCCCAGGAGCAGCTGAGCATGTGGGCCCCATCGAAGACGCACTGCAGGTTCTGGGGCCGGGCCTTGTCCCCTGTGGAGGAGACAGCCCTCGGTCACTCCCCTGTCTCACACCCTGTGACCACCACAGGGAGATCATGGGCCTTGGGATAAGGAGGCCTACTGCAGCCCTCATCGTGGGCCTGCCATCTGCACGCCCACAGCTCCAGGAATCTGTCTCCAGGAATGGGCAGCCTTGAGGGGGAAAGCCCTCCTAACACACGGTGGCCGGTGATGCAGCCGCCATGACGGCTGCAGTTGTCATCAGGAAACCTTCGCAGGACCTGAGCCGGAACGCACAGCACAGTCTGACGGGGCAGAGTTCCCCGCTGCTGGCCTGGGACGCTCTGCTGAGCACACGCAGACCCAGGCTTGGAAGACCAAGGGGTGGACTCAGACCCTGACTGTGCAGGACCCTAGGGAGCCGCCCTGCCCGGGGGACAGGTCCCGCCCAGACCCCTTACCTGGCTGCGAGCTCCAGCCAACCTCGCGGCTCCACTGGCTGGGCCGCCCCGAGAAGCCCGAGTCCCGGGCCAGCCGCGTCCGCACTCGGGCCACGTAGGAGCTGTTGGGCAGCAGGAGCTTGGGCCCCAGGGCCACCTGGGAGGAGTTGGAGTGCAGGGTGGTGGCGCTCTGTGGAGAGAGGGTACAGTGTGGGCGGTGCTGGTCACGTGTCCCCTGGGGCTGGGGCACAGCTGAGTCTGGGTCTTACCTCCCAGGACTCGTGAAGCCTCTTGTAGACCACCTCAAACTGCAGGTCCCTCTGCGACAGCCAGGACTTCTGGGGACCTCCAAGGCCCACACTCCAGGTCAGCAGGAACTGGTCCCCAGAGGCACTGATCTGCACGTCCTGGGGCGGGGGCGGCTGCACTGCAGGGACAGGAAGTGAAGGGCTTGTGAGGAGGTCCCATGGGGACAGAGCGGCCTGCCTGGCTGTGGGGGGGACACACTTGGGTCCCAGGCCCAGCACTGCCTGTCACCTGAGGACCGTGAACAAGACCCTTCCTGTGCCGCTTCACACCCCACTTATAGCACTGTGTGCTGAAACGTGACAGCAGGGACAGCTGGAGGGGCTGGACCTCAACTCTCAGTGAAGCCTCCCTTGCCCAGCACACAGTATGACCTCCTACCCCGCAGAGGGCACTGCAGTCACATGCCTCCCTCTCCTGCTGGCCCCTCTCCCTTCCACCTGCCAGGAGTCCCCAGCCACTGTCACTGAGGAGCACAAGTGTCTCCTCCTCGAAGGACCATCTTGGATCCCTGTTCCTTGTTTCTTCTCTTCCTTCCTTCTAAGCACCCCCTGCAGGTTCCCCTGCACCTGGAAGGGTTTGCAGTTCCCGTGTTGCCTCCCCTGGCAAAGGAGGAACTTGGGGAACGAAGGTGGCACTCAACCTCCTTTCCTGTATCTAGGCCTCACATGCAGCTGCTTGGTGAACTGGGATGGGAGTGAAAGGATTGATGGCTGGATGGCTGGATGGATGGATGGGTGGATGGAAGGATGGATGGATGGATGGAAGGATGGATGGATAGATGGAAGGATGGATGGATGGATGGAAGGATGGATGGATAGAAGGATGGATGGATGGATGGATGGGTGGATGGATGGATGGGTGGATGGATGAATGGATGGATGGATAGATGCATGGATGGATGCATGGATGAATGGATGAATGAATGAACACAGGTGTAGTCTTTGGGCTCTCAGGAATCACACTGTCCACCTCTCAATGCAGAGAGGCCTGCCTGGAATCTCCTGAGCTCATGAAGAAGCCAAATTCCTGAGAGCCATGGCTCCGGGCTCTGGGACTTTCTCTGTCCTATTTCCGGGCATGACTTTCACGTCCAAAATATTCACACAGTAAGGGGTGAACATTCTGTGCTGGTCATGGGACAAGCTGGTTGGAGCAGGTCCCAGCTAGAGCCCCATAGGAGCGAGGTGCACAGCAAGCCGCTACCCCTGCCCACCCAGCCAGGACAGGCATTGCTAATCAATCACAGCACCCCAAGCCTGAGATTGACACGGAGTGGGCATCTGTCTCAGCACAGAGCTCCAGGAAGCTGCTGGGACCTGGGCCGACTGGGGGCCAGTTCCCCCCTTTTCATCCAGCTTCAGCCATTTTATTGCACGGGCTCATTTGGAGAAAGTGCTGGAGGAAGCGAAATGTCCAAGATCTCGCTACGGGACCGTCAAATAGCTCAGTCGCACCTCTGTGCCCATCCTGGCTCTGGCCCCTTCGATCCAGTGCCAGTTTCCTTCAGGCTCAAACTGACTTCTTTATTTAACATTTGCTCCAGGATGCAGAGTGCCACCTTCCTGTCCTTGTTCTATGTGGTCCCCATCCCCATGTGCAGCCTTGTCATGCCCAGGCGCTGCATTCCCTGTGGCCAGACTGCTGACTGCTTGCTCCCTGCCCTCCCGGCCCACGAAGGTGCTTGGTGAGCCAGCAAGCACAAGAATGGGTCCCTTGTCCATCCCGACTGGGACTGTACCTCCCCTTGTCTGCACCCTGGCTATAGCCAGCTGAGCCCTTATCACGTCTCTCCCTGCCTCCTGCCTCCGGTATCATCCATCCATCCTCCTGGACTCCGTCCTCCTGCCACCACTGCCTAACTTAGCACATGCAGTGTCCTCAGGCCAGAACCCAGTTGTGTACACTGCTTCAGAGGCTCTCTGTCACTTGCAGGGCAGAATTTTGTCCTGCTTCAGGTCCTGCCTGTATCCCTCACTTCTTCCTTCTGTTGTCCAGCATAAGAACTTGATGCTCCGGGACACAGTGACGGAGACTTCCCAGCCTGCCACTCCTCCCGAGCCTCCTGGCCTTTGCACACAAGGTTACCCTGCCAGGAAGGCGCCTCCCGCTCCATGCCCCTCCACCGCCCTCACATCTCAGCTGCAAAGCTGCTTCCTTCCTTCTGGGAAGCCTGTCCTGATCCCCCAGGCCCTCCGCCCTCTGCCTCTGCACGCAGCACTCGGGACAGTGTCTGGCGTTTCCCGGTCTCCAGGCTGCAGCTCTGAGCGCCCCCAGGGAGGGACCCTCTCACCCAGGAGAGCAGGTTTGGAAACATGGTCTCAGAGCTGCCCTCTCCAGGTCGCGGCTTCCGGAGCCTGTGACCCAGGCAGGAAGCAGAGCAGAGCCTCCCAGACTCGTGCCAGGAGCTTCAGGGCCAGGGCAGGGTCCGAGGCGGGAGCCGACCTGCCTGGGCCCAACCTGAGCGCGGCCAGCAGCGCCTGCCAGGCCTTGGGCAAAAGGCCTGGGTGAAGCCAAAAGGCAGGGACAGTGGCACCTCTCTGGTGCTGCATGGGGAAGAGGACAAGAGTCGCAGCCTCCCCAACACCCGCCACACACAGGGCTTGGCCCGTCACCCCAGACCTTTCTCAGAGGACTCCCCTTTCCACCCGGCCTCCCCGGAGCAGCACCGCCTGGAGCCCATGCGAGTGCAGGGCCGCTGCTTTCCTTCTAGTGGAAACTCAGGCAGACCTCGCCGTACAAATGGCCGTGTGCACCCAGCCGAGACCCTGCTGGAGTCTCGGCCCCCATGGGCCCACCGAGCACCCTGGGCCCAGGGGGGCAGCGAGGAGACAGCTGAGTGTCTGCAGGGCAGGAAGCCTGTGGGGAGTGGACCTGGCCCAGAGGCCGGGCTCCGGAACCGCTCTGGGCCTCACGGGCCTCACCCACAGAGGCGCTGCGGCAGGCGTGCGTCCCATGGCTGGTCAGTTTCCAGGAGAGTCCTGGGCGTGGTTCCCTTGGCGGGAAGCTGTCAGGGCTGGGAGTCAGAGGCTGGGCGGAGGTGGCAGCAGCTGGGCAGGGGAGGCAGCTTGGGTGTGGCCCGCTCCTCGCACCTGCTCAAGTGCCGGCATCACAGGGCGCCGCTTCCTGTCCCCACGCGGTCCCAGGACAGAGTCTCCACTCCTCGGACACTCCCTGCCTGGTTCTTCTGCTTTACCCCCACTGTTCCTGGTGCCCTCTGCCTAGACGGGGACGGAGCCCTGGCAGGGATGCCGGCTCTCACCGTGGTGGGCCAGTGGCACAGTGACCTGGATGTTCAGAGGCCGGTCTGGCTGGAAGGAGAAGTAGTCATTGTCAGCCAGGGCGAAACTGTTGTAGGGAATGACACATCTTCTAGGCACACAGGGAGGAGACGGGCAGTGTGGCCAGGATATGTTGCTAGCGGGTTCACACGACACCGGCTCTGAATAGTTCCTGCTGGAAGAGAACATGGGTTTCTTGGCTCAGAATCAATAAGAAGCTCCCACGCATCATATTTAGTGAGTGGTGCCATGTGTTAGGCTTTGTCCAGGCTCAAGCGCGGGCAGTGAACCACACACAGGCAGATGCTCACTTCTGCAGCTGGCATCCTGGGCAGGAGGCACAGGCTCATCCACTGGAGACATTCAGACATGACATGTAAAGGAGTATTTTGAGGGAGAGTCATAGCAATGGGTCTTCTACAATGATCATTTTTTAAAATTTTAAAATATTCACCGTATATTTTGCCTTCCCCCCTGTAGTAGGAGGAAACATCATGTAGTCATGCAAAGTGAAGGAGGGTGACTAAGCTAGGCGTTGGGGTGGGGATGAGGTCTGAAGGAGGGGACTGGAAGGCCTTACTGAGAAGGCAATATGTGCAAAGCAAGCCCAAAGGCATAGGGAGAGATAGTGCAAATTCTGGTGAAAGGAGATTTCCAGAAATGGCCCAGCAAATGCAAAGTCCCTGGGGCAGGCACCCGTGCAAGTGGCACCATTCAACCAGCACACAGGGAGAGGAGCATGCAGGCGGGAGGTCTGGGAGACTGATTAATTAGACTGATCATACAGGGCTTAGAAGAAATCTGAATGTAGCCAAGAGAAAATCTAAAGAAAGCCTCTCCCCTTACTGACTTATAGTTGACTTTCCATTTCTCTAACTGAAGAGCTCACACAGCTGAGCAGTCTATTATTAACTTCCCACTAACTTTCCTGGAGATAACACCTCTAACCAAAGCCACCGAATGGATTCAAACTCTGGCAAAAGTGGCTTTCTGCTTCCCGCCCAGGTTCTGCATCTTATACTATAAGGTTACTGATTTCTGAGAAAAGAAACTAAAAAGACATGAGTCATAAAATTTGCTAATCGGTGTCTTTCCTCTAGGTTTACAGAACCCGGAACATTGAGTAATCTTCACGTAACAGCAGTGTGGGTACCAAGGAAGCCGACGGCTATGGGATTTGTGACAACCCTGGTGTTCCTCTACCTCTGATCCAGGGCTGAAAAGATGCCCTGTGACCCCCAAGTAAGATGGCTTTTTTGGCAAGAGCCTCCCACCTTCTCTTATTTGCAGACTTTCCAAGTGAATCTTTTTCCTTGCTCCAACTTGTCCTCAAGTATTGGCTTTCAGGCGGTGAGCAAAACAGACCTGGATCCAGTAATACAAGGAATTTGGATTCCATTGAGTTTGTGATAAGCACTTAGAGACTTATGCGGAAAGAGATGAAAGACATATTTTGATGTAGGCTTTGAGAGATAGTGACAGGGGTGTGCTGTGGGAGCAGGGAGACCAGGTGGCTTCTAGTCCATCTAGAAGTGGATGTCAAGTGACAAGAAGTGGTTTGGAGCAGGGAGGTAGGGTCAGGATTAGTCAGAAACATATTCTGTTATTTTGTTTGCCTGTGTTGGTTTTTTTTTTTTTTTTTTTTTTTTTTTGTCTTTTTGAGACAGGGTTTTGCTATTCAGTTCAGGCTGGCCTTAAATACACTTTGTGGCCCTGGCTGGCCTCGAACTCACAGCAACCCTCCTGCCTCAGCCTCCCCAAGTACTGGGGTTACAAGAGTGCATCACCATGCCCAGCTCTCATTCTGTTTTTTTTTTTTTTTTTTGGTTTTTCTCCGGTAACGGGAACCGAACTCACGACCTTGCGCTTGCCAGGCAGGCGATTTTGCCGCTGAGCTAAATCCCCAGCCCCTCTCATTCTGTTTGAAGACACATTTGACAGCATTTGCTGGTGGAATAAATCCTGCAGTGGGGAAGGAAAGGTGGTAAAATAGATTTAAAAGCCAAATAACCTCTTCCCCTTTGTTTAGCCCGAGTGGCCATCTCTTCCTAGTGGAGTGAGCTGGGGAAGACTGAGGCAGGAGCATCTCAGGGTGGGAGCAGAATTTGATTTAGGGCATTTAGAGTCAAAGATATCTAGAATCTAAGTGATGACACAGAGAGGCAAGCGCATTGATTGGTGGTTACTGGGAGTCTGGGCTAGAAATCTGCATCTGGAGTTGCCACCAATAGCCTGAGATGGGATCTTAAAAGACTGGGTACAGATATAACAGAGGAGGTGTGAGGACCAAAGCTGGGGGCTGACACCCTCTGTGAAGGGACAGAAAGGAAGCAAGAGAGAGAAGAGGGTGTGTGGAGGTGGGGACAGGGGATTCGTGAGTGAGGAGGCCCGGAGTCAGGTGAAGACAGCCCCGGGAAGGACACTGTATCTTCCACCGTCAGGGAGGAAGAGGGCTGACACCTGAGTGCTCCATCCAACCCCAGGGGCACAGCTGACAGACAGGAGCAGCCTGGGTGTTCATGGGGGACAGACTGAAAAGGCACCCGGTACGGTGACTGCAGACAGCCCTGGGAGGAAGCGGTGATGACCCAGGAGAGGCAGGACAGAGCCGCGGCAGGAAGATGGGGTACAGTGGAGCCAGCTCCCCAGGGGGCACCTCCCCAGGGTTTCCTTCATCCCCTGGACTCAGCTGTCCGGTCACCGCACTGATGGCGGAGTAGACCCTCCAACTCCTCCCACGGACTCCATCGCCTCCCCGAGTGGCTTACACCCAGGAGGCCATCGACCTGAAGGCGGCTACCCTACGCTGCAGGTGGGACCCTGGGAGCCGGGAGTCGCCCAACACCTCACGCCCTTGGACACGGTCCCAGCTCTGCTCCTCTCTACCCTGTGGCTGGTGAGGCCCTAGCTCCCTGGCCACCTGTGCGCCCTACCTGTGACCTGGGCGTTGTGTCCTTCTTGCTGCCTCCCAGGGAGGGTGAACTCAGTCACTTGGGGAAACTTTGTGAAACGGTAGGTGGCAGTAAGAGAAGACTGTCACCCTCTACAGCAGCGGGCCATTGGTGTCCCAGGATCCCTGCATTTGCTGTGTCCCTATGTCCCCTGCAGCCCCATGCCAGGCACCCTAGGCACAGAACAGCACCCTCAGACCCTGGTCCCCCTCACTCACTCTTTTAACAACCGCCGATGGAGGGTCACGTTGATGAGCTTCCCAGCAGCCGCCGTCTCTGCCCAGCTGCACACGATGCGGCTCGTGTAGTCATTGTAGCAGCGCAGGGTCTGCATTGGGACAGTATCTGCAGGGAGATGCAGGAGGGTCACCCTCCCCTCTGCCCCTGTCACCGCCCCCACGCATTAGCAGAGTGCCCAGCCCTGGGGAAAGACCCGGGTTCCCGCAGAGCCCTGGGCAGGGCGGCTGGGGGGGGGGGTGGTCCTGGCCAAGGACCCTTCTCCCCACAGAAACACAGCTTCTAGCCGATCCTCAGCGCATTACTGGGCCTCGTGTGCTGGCCCTGGGGAAGGGGCCCTCAGGAGAGGACGTGTGTCAGACAGCCCCACCTCCACACTCCGCGGTGCCCCCCCAGGCCCACCCTGGGCCGCCTCTGTCCTCTGCCTGCCTGGCCTGGGTTTGGAAAATGGACTGTCATTCCTGAGGTGGTGACAGAAGCCGTGGTCTGGGGGCACTGGGAAGGGTCCCTTCTGCTTTGGGAGCCCCGGGAGTACCCCAGGAGTAGTGGGGACGCCAGGTTGCTGTAGGGGGAGCCCCAGGCCAAGGCAGCAGCGGGGATCGGAGGTCTCCAGGGAGCAGAGGTGCTGGGCGGGAGCGGGGCAGAGAAGAGGCTGGACCTCCGGGAGCTCGGGGCCTCCGGTGGCACAGTGAGGGGGGGGCAGAGACGTGGCTCTGCTTCAGCGGGGCCCTCAGGGGCCAGAGAAGGGTGAGCGGGTGTGTGGGAGCCTGGAGGAGGGCCCAGGTGACCGGCCCAGAGGGAGGAGGGACGCGAGACAGGGAGGAAGGAGAGCTGTGAGGTGTCCAGGAGCTTCCAGGGTTCAGAGGGGGTGTCCCTGACGTGGTCAGGGGTGAGGCGGGGGATGAGGAAGGGGAGGAGCCTCAGACTCACCCTCTGACCCTTGCGCAATGGGCCCCCTGCACAGAGCGGGCAGGGCCATGAGGAGCAGGCGTGGGAGCAGCGCCATCTCCTGGTCGGCTCTGGACCTGCAGGTGGCTGGAGGGTCCGCGCTGGCTATGGGCAGCGGGGCGTCCTCATTGCCCTGAAGTCTCCTGTTGCTGCTGGGCTGGGGGATGGGCCAGGCTCATGTCACTGGATCTTGTGACCCCACGACTCTGCCTCCTCTGGGCCTGCAGAAGGATGAGTTAGTGGGAGATGCCCAAGGCCTAGCCTGTGTTGTGGAGCAGGACCCTGGTGGCGGTCCCAGCACTTCCAGACTAAGTCTCCCAAGCAAGATGGTGGGTGAGATGGGCTGAAGGGCTCTGGGTACCACCAAGCAGTGTCCTGAGATGACAGCCCCTGAGAGGGAGGCTGGGCTTTGATGGGAAGCAGGCTCCCCCTGGGTGACACACCCGTGCTCTGGGGAGTCACCGGGTAAAGGGGAAGGTGGCATGGCTCAGAGGCATTAGTCTCCTGCCCGCCTCACACACACACTGGGGCCCGGTGCTGTCCCTGCCTGGCTCCATTTACCATCATTTCTCCCCTGACATTCTCTGCCTGTCACTCTCTGCCTGTTGGTTCCCCTTTTCCGGCAGATTGGGGATTTCCTCTCTGTCATTACGTCCTGCCCTGGGAAGTACCATGGGAGCACAACTGTCCCTGTGTCTATGTGTCTATCTATTTATTTACCTGTGTATCTATCTGTGCATCCATCTGTCCGCCCACCTATCCTCTGTGGACACACTAGCTGGCAACAGGGCTATTTTACTCAAGAATTCCCGACACGACAGAGGAGGAATTAGTAACAAGATGAAATAATGGAACATACAATTGAAATGCTGACTGAATAACAAAACTCCCATCTCACACCATTCCTCCAACATGAAGTGAATTAAAAATGAAATGTAAAAGTGAAACCACTTTAATCTTCAAACCATAGGAGTGCTCATCCACATCAGAGATTTGCTCCTCATAGTGGCAGGGGAGGGAAGTCCTAGGTCAAGTTGCTGGCTGACTGGGTGTCCAGTGAAGCCACCCCGCAGGCTCCTGACTGCAATCCCAGTGGGGAGGAAGGGACGAGGGAGTGCTCAGGTCTCTGTGGTCAGCCGCTAATCCCACTCCTGAAGGCCCAGTCCCCGCGACCCAGTCCTTCCCAGAGGACCTGCCTCCAAATACTCTCTTTGGAAATTAGGTTTCAACATATGAGCTTTGTGCATGCAGGCTTGAGAAATCAAAGTTACAGAGAACAAGTTACTATCTCCCATGGTCAAAGATTAAAACAAAACAATCTTATCAAAGAACACAAGCAGAATGCTCATATTCATGCAGAGAATCCCTGTTAGTGGCTGACTTTCTTTGAGACAGAGTCTCATTAGGTAGCTCATGTTGGCCCTGAATTTGACGGGATCCTCCTGCCTCAGCCTCCCAAGTCCTGGGATTATTGATGTGTGGCATCATGCCTGGCTAGTGGCTGGCATATTTTTACCACCTACCATAAACCAGGCACTGTTCAAAACACTTACAGACATGAATAGCTGGCTATAGGCTACTGTTAGAATCTTCTGCATTATAGGAGCAAATGGTACAGGGATGAGTAACAGGTCCTCGGTCCCATAGTGCGGGACAGGTGGGACCATGCACAGCAGGCAGGCTCGGAGCTCTGCGCACTTAGCTTTTGCTGTGCAAAGAATAAAAAACCATGTTTAAAGGCATGAGATCCATAATGTTTTAAAAATCCACTCAATAACGGGCCAAAGGACAAAGCAAATAACACAAATGGCCACCCTACAAAAATGGATATTTAAAGACAGAGCAAATGGGCAAGGAGATGGGAAGTTTTAGAGAAATGTTGAGACCTGGGAAGAGATCCAAGGATTCCAACCCCCAGAAGCAGAGGACAGAGAACATTAAGGGCACATATGACAACAGCATCAGCTGCCTAGCGGTCCCCTCCCTCCTTGTCAACAAGAACCCAAGATTTAACTGGGATTATTGCTACACAGAGTAGGAGGTTTTATTTCATATCCTCTCCTGCTGCTGGGCATGATCCTGTGACTAAATGTTATCCAAGAAGATATGAGTGGAAGCAGTGTGTGACTTCCAAACAAGGTTGCTTAACAGGAGTCGACTCAGATGAGAAGGGTCTATTTTTGCCTTTCTGCCTTTCCTCTTTCCTCCAGCCTGCAGTTTATCAACGATGGCTGGCACCCAGGCAGCCATTTTGGACTATAAGGTTGCCTTGAGAAAGGAAACAATACTCAAAAGAAGGAGAAGAAACTGAATTCTTTTTATCACTTTGGAGCAACCGTATCAGCCTGAGATTACTACCTCTGCACTTTTCTTATGTGAGTCAAAAAAATTATTGTTTATAGAAACAATTAGAAGTAGAAGAAAATTTCAGTGTTTTCAGAAGACAGCAATCCACTAAGTGAAAATGAAGATTCATTTTTTTTTCCCCATAAAGACAAAAAGGACTCTTGGATGTTATAGTCAGACAGGGTATGCCCATCTTCTAGCTGCTTGCTGGCAAAGATAAGCCCCCGCTGGTCGGGGAGATGCCTTCCTTGTCTTGGATCTTGGCCTTGACATTCTCAGTGGTGTTGCTGGGCTCTGCCTCAAGGGTGATGGTCTTACCAGAGAGGGTCTTCACGAAGATCCACATTCACCTCTCAGACGGAGCGCTAGGGGCAGGTTGGACTCTTTCTGGAGGTTGTAGTCAGACATCGCCAGCTGCTTACCGACTTCAACATCAGAGGAGTCCACCCTGCCCCTGGCAGTCGGTCTGAGAGGTGGATACAGATCTTCATGAAGACCATCACCCTCGAGGCGGAGCCCAGCGCCAGCCCTGAGAACATCACGGCCAAGATCCAAGACAAGGAAGGCATCTCCCCGACCAGCGGGAGCTGATCTCTGCCGGCAAGCAGCTGGAAGTTGGGCAAACTCCGTCCAACTACAACCTCTGGAAGGAGTCCACTCTGCACCGAGGGTTGCTCCTGACATGAGGTGTCCATACTTTCATAGTCCAAAACCAAAACAAAACAGCAGACCAAAAGGAAGACTTCACTGAAGGAGGCTGCTATTCTGATGGTGTTTGCAGTGAGCGAGTGATATCAGGCTCCCTCCTGAAGTTCCTTTACAATACTGTTGTTCCCAATTACAAGTTGCTGTAGACTTTCAGTCTTCCAAGAATATTCCTTTAGATTTTTTTTTTTTTTTTTTTTGGTACCGGGAATCGAACCCACGACCTCATGCTTGCAAAGCAGGCACTGTGCCACCGAGCTATATCCCTGGCCCAGTCTTCCAAGCATAAAAGGGTAGTCTGGGAAGTTTTCCCCAATGAAACATAGGTCACTTTCACTACGACAGAGGTTGGCCCAGCAAGAGACTTCTCCTGAGTAACCCTGAACTTGAAATAGATAATGAGGTCTTGAAAGCACCCGGGAAAACATGTGTAACCCAGAATCACAAGAAATAAGGTTTCCCAGCTCACACCTGGAATCCCAGCCACTTGAGAGGCTGAGGCAGGAAGATTTCAAGTTGGAAACTAGCCCACACAACTTTGTGAGACTTTGTCTCAAAATTAAGCAATAAAATGGGAGTGGGATGGAGCTTAGGGGCGGAATGCTTGCCTAGCATACAGGGCCTGAATTCAATTCCCAGGGCTGGGTTGGGGAAAGGAGAGAAAAGAGATGAGTATGGAGAGAAAAAGATGAGCAACGGGAAGAGGAAAACCAATGATCTCTTACACCAAAGAACCGTGCACATCAGAAGTGCCACCCTGTGACGGGGCTAATGGTAGAAATAAAAACTGATTAAAAAAAAAAAAGGAAGCAAACATAAATTCACTATAGACAAAAATAACATCAGAAGATAATAGGAAAAAGAGTTTTTAAAGGAGAAAGCCCCGTGGCCAGGCAGGGAAGGGCATCTTGCCCACTGCAGGATAGGGGTAAACAGTCTGCTGGTGACAAAGAGAAAACGGCAAACAGGTGAGAGGGGACATGAAGGATAGCTTGATCCTGACGGAGGCTCTGGCACGCGTGACAGCGCACAAATCATTCCGGGGTCAAGGAGCAGACAAACCTTGGCAAACACAAAGCTGGAGAAAATACGGCACTGCTAAAAAATATTTGCCCAAAACGCTACCGCAAGATCAGAGTCCCAGGGGACCGTGAGCAGCCCCCTGGCAAATGTCCCTCTGGTACCTGTCCCCACAGATCACCCCAGTGAAATCACAGTGAAGACTCTGAATGGTTCTTTCTTTCTCTCTCTCTTTCTTTCTTTCTTTTTTCTTTCTTTCTTTCTTTCTTTCTTTCTTTCTTTCTTTCTTTCTTTCTTTCTTTTTCTTTCTTCCTTCCTTCCTTCCTTCCTTCCTTCCTTCCTTCCTTCCTTCTTTCCTTCCTTCCTTCCTTCCTTCCTTCCTTCCTTCCTTCCTTTCTTTCTTTCCTTCTTTTTTGCAGTACTGGGGTTTGTACCTAGGCCTTTGCCCCAAAGCTACATTCCCCAGCCCCACCCCTTTTTGAGACAAGGTCTTCATAAATTGCCCAAGTGGGGCTGGAACTTGTGATCCTCCTGCCTCAGCCTCCTAGAGTGCTGGGATTACAGATATGCACTGCCACACCTGGTTCCAAGGAGATTTTTTTCATAGACTAGACAAGCTGATTCTAAATTACAACAAATTAAAGATGAGAGACTTGCTATATTAACTGGAAAGATCCAGAGCAATGTAATAGTCCATAGATAGGACAGAAAACACTTAGAGAAATAACCAAGAAAATAGTGGATTTTAGGAAGATGTAATGACATTCCAAATCACCAAGAGGCAAAGGGACTACATACTTATAATTAATGAGTCTTAGATAATAGATGATTTCTTTATCAAGTTAGATTATTACTTTACATATTGCCTACTTATGTGAATTCCAAATGAATTGAAGACCTAAAAGCCAAAATTAAAATTGTCAAATACTAAAAATACTTCTTTATGCTGAACAAGACAACAAAACCAGGAACCATTTTAGTAGAAAATAGTGAAAGTTTTGACTTATAAACAAAATATTTTATATGATACAAGATGGTTTTAAATACAGCAAAGAAAAGACAAGCAATAATCTGGGCTACTGTTTTCAACATGTGTGAATAAATTTGCACACATAATAAGCGAATCACTGTGAAAGTTAAGATGTAAAAGATGAAGAAGACGAAGAAGAAAACTTCCCCGTGTTCATCATAATGGAACCCAAATAACCAAAAAGCATATGAGCTTTTCAACCATGAGCTTTTGTTTCTTTGATACCAGGAATTGAACTCAGGGCCTTGTGCTTGCTAGGCAGGTGATTGCACCACTGAGCTATATCCCCAGCACCAATTGTGCACCCGTTTGCCTACAATACACGCTTCAGGAACACATCTGTAGCTTGCTAAGGCAGAAGCCACCTAAGTGTTGCCCACTATTGGATTAGGTGTCTTGTGATTACCCATACTAATAAGTGCCACATAGTTTTAGTTAATTAGGTCCAATCTGTTTGTATTATTGTGGAATGCTTTCCAAAATGTAAATATTAAGAGAAAAATTAAGCTGTGGAATCATATGTGGGCTATAATCATATGTGGGCTATAATTCTGTAAGAAGAAAAGCTATATAGTTGTATCACTTTAGAATAATGTTCTGGAAAAGATACCTGTGTCGAAGGGAATGGGTAGAGGTGTCTGGGAACATTGGCTTTTATGCTTCATAATTCTGGATGATCCTAATTTTTTAATGGAGAAAGTATCTGTGTGCTTACTTTTTTAGCATTACATACAGTCATGTGCAAGGCCGCTGCCAATGCATATATAAAACTGATGAATGAAAGGACTTGACGGAAATGTCACTCAACTATAGAAATTATTACAAAGCAGGAGAGATGAATAGGAAAAAACAATAAAAGAAAACTCAATTACACAAAAATACGTAAAGCAGGGCCTTTGAGGACTAAAGACAACACTCCTGGCACAAAGATTAGGCGAGGCCCTACAAGCCCGAGTCCCAGGTGGACCGAGACACCCGTCCCTGAGCCATGGCAAATACGTGCGGGACACAGCCCACAGCCCACAGCAGACAGCCTGGAGTCCACCCCTAGTTCCCCGGGCTTGGGGGCAGAGCATGCGTATCTGGGCCCAAACCCCCTACACACACACACACTGACTGCTGGGTAGCAGTTTGCGTCTCTGAGCAAGGGACTGAACCTCTTCTCAAGTTCAAGGTGAACTTCCTAAGTCGCACCCAGTAACTTGGGCTCCGGCGCTCCCAGCTTGCACATCTCCTCCTCCACCTCCCAGCCTCTGCACCCTGCCACCCGCCCTTTCTCAGCCAGGACAGCGGGGACGCTCTGCCTTCTCCTCACCCCGCGAACAGACAAGGAGACAGAATCCCCGGCCAGGGAGGGGACGTGCTCACTGCCACCACCAACACCTCGGTGGCCAAGCACAGAGGGACAGCGCATGGCTCCCAGGGGAGCTCGCTCACCCTGCCCGGCACCCTCCGTACCAGGACAAACAGGTCCTTCTGGTAGGGCAAGGACACCCACTTGCACAGTGCCCCAGCCGTCTCCTCACCTCCAGCTGCCTGAGGACTCTGGGATCCAGTCTCCTCAAAAGGCGCAGCTCTGGCCTCCTAGCTGCCTCAGCGAGCTACAGTCCCCTGTGCCACCCCCGCACTCCCGGCCTTGCCCCACAGGCCTGGCCTACCTCCGTGGCGGCCGGGCCAGCTCCTTCGGGAGCTTTAGTCAGCTGTGCGCCTTGCTGCTTCCTATTTATTTATGCAGCTTGTCGTGAGGAAACGGGGACTCAGAAAGAGGAAGCGAAGCCTGTTTCTACACACATGCCCTTTCCTAAGCATCGCCCAGCTTCTCAGAACTGTGGACACGATACTGCTTGCTGACGGCACCAGAGGCAAGTACTGAGTCTCCCTGTAAACTCCTACGCGTCCTCTGGGTCTCCGTGCACACAGGACCTCCTCCACGCAGCCCACCCTGACTGCCCCCTTGGCAGGCAGAGGGAAGTGGCTCTAGCCCGAGCAGGTACAAGCCCAGGACCAGACTGTCCTGGGTGGGACTCCAAGTCCACTGCTTTTTAGAGTGTGACTTTGTGCCAGTCACTCGCATGTGACTTCTCCAAGCCTCAGGACCCCAGCTGTTACTTTCATACCAGAACTTATGCACCTGGGAGGGCTGTGGAGGGGAGCCGAGGAGGTGCTCCTCGGGACAGCCTCAGCTCAGAGTCCCACGCCAGAGCCTAGCTGTGGCGGGGGCTGGTGGCATTCCGATTTCTTGGGGTCCTTTGGTGCCTCACCCCTTTCCCCAGTGCTGTGCAGAGCTGCTTGGGGTCTGGCTCCCATTTCTCTCCCAGTGCCCAGCCTGACACAGAGGACGCCCTTAGTGACTATGTCTGGAAGAAGGAAGGAAGGAAGGAAGGAAGGAAGGAAGGAAGGAAGGAAGGAAGGAGGGACGGAAGGAGGGAGGGAGGAGGTAAGGAGGGAGGGAAGGAGGGAGAGAGGAGTGACTCCCTGTACACAGCAGGGCTGGGAAGGATGTGTTAAGCATCCCTCAGGTGGAGTTAAAAGTGGCACCAAGTATCTCAGTCATCCAGACAAACGATATTTAATGCAATGTGGTGAAAAATCAAAAGCAAGAATAATTCTAATGAGCAAAAAGATCAAATTTTAAAACGAGGACAGGAGCCAGCTGGCTGTGCCACCCTGGAGTTGCGCAAAGGGAAAGTGGTTGTGCTTCTCCCGCGGGAGGCGCAGCGACGGCCCAGGAGGGGACCCCAGGTAAAGACCAGGGAAAGGTGGGGATGGAACCTGCTGCGAAGCTGCTGACCTCTGGACTGATGTTCTTTGCTGTGCTCGGCCGGGAAGGCCAAGGCTGGCTAGAAAAGGCCAGGCGGAGGGCGGTGAGGTGGCGCTTCAGTTCCCCTGCTGTGCTGCTGCCTGTCTCTTCCCGGAGTGGCAAGGCCTGGCAGGGCTTGTGCAGGGCTGGAAGGGTGGACCAGAAGTAATGACCTTGCTCTTCTGTCCTGATGCCCCTACCAAGCCTCCTTCCCGGAGCTCCCTGTCATGCTGGGCTGAGACCGGGGACCTGGAAAGGGACCTTAGCCAGGCCCGGCCACCTGGCTGTCAGTCTGGAGGACAGCGCCAGGCGTGCAGGTCAGGGTGGGCAGCACCTTCTCCCCATGAGCTTGGCTTGTCTCAGGGCCACAGCACCAGGACCTGTCTGGGCTTTGGGCTTCTCCAGGCCTGGCATGAATTTCTGTCCCTTGAAAGTTGGAAGGTCTGTCTGCCGCCCAGGGAAGGCCCAACTCCACTGCTCTCCAAGAGAGACCCAGAGACGCACCCAGCGCATAGTTAGCTCTGGTAGCAACCTGTGTAGGGGTCCAGGCCTCCCTTCTGGGGAGTGTGTGGGTGGGGCTGACGCCTTGGCCGCTCCACCCCTTCCCCATCTGCATGCTTCTAGCCAGGTGCGGCATCTCTGTGCCCCTCTCTGAGACCTTGGACTGCGGCCTCCATAGTGTACTGTGGCTGAGGAGTCGTCAGTGTGACTGGAGGCCAAATTGGAGGACATTTGTCCCCACCTTGACTCAGTGTCCTCGTGCCTCCCCTTCCTTCCAGGGTCCATAAAACTCCCTGAGCTTTGTCCCAGGCTTCAACAGTGGGACAAGGATGAGTCTGGGCTGATCCACCCGACCTTGACCTTGCCTCCCAGGGGGGCACCGAACAGGGCTGGTGTGGCCTTCAGCTTAGCCTCCTTTGTACCATCCAGGCAGACAGCTCAGCTGAGCTCCTGATGGGTGCAACGCCCTGTCCTCAGGTCACAGAGGGGCACCTTGACCCCAAGGATCGGGTGGGGCCAGCACTCGCCAGTGGGGTGGCTAGAAAATGAAGTATGGGAACTCAACAACACTCAACTCTTAAAAATAAAAACCAGCAAAGCAGTCTCACCAGCTAAAACACAGTGGAACAAGAAGAGCTTCGTTATACTCACCAGGGGCCTTTGGTGGGGATGGGAGGTAGTTATCCACAAAGTGGTCCTGACAGGAGCTTTGAATGTCATGGAGCCTGGTTCCTGTCTGCCCTGGAATTAAGTTTTTCTTATATAATTAAAAATATTTTCTACCATATTTCCACTAGGGAGTTTTAAATTTCCATACGCTAAAGTGCGCAAATCTCAAGTGCACAGTGCAGTGAATATTTATAAACCGACGCGACCGCGTAGCCAATCGTAGACTGAAAACTAGAGCGAGCCCAGAGACGTCTTTCGTCCTCTCTCAAAGGTTACCGCTACTCTGATTTCTCTCACCGTGACCCAGTTGCGTCTGTTTTTTTAAAAAAGATTGTGGTAAAATATTCCAAACATAGCATTTGCCATTTTTACCATTTTTAAGCATACAACTCAGTGGCCTCGAGGACGTGTGTGTTTTGCACGCAACCATCACCGCCATCTGTCTCCAGAAACTTTTCCATCAGTTTCCAAACTGAGGCTCAGTGACCACAAGTCATCTCATCCCCACCTCTCCCAGCCTGTGGAAGCCGCCATCCATTCTCCGTGTCCGTGAACCTGACTGCTGTAAGGAGCTCTTCTGAGCGGCATCATATAGGAGTTGTCCTTTCGTGATGGGTTTATTACCTCGCTTAGCATAATGTCGTCAAGGTTCATCCAGGTTACAAAATATGCCAGAATTTCCTTCTGCCTTAGTCCCTTTCATTGTTGCTGACGCACCATACCCAGAAGGAGGAGGGGTTTATTTTGACTCATGTTTCAGTCCATAGTTGGCTGGCTCCAAGGTAGGATGGCACGGCAGAGGGACATGGAGGAGGAGATCTGCTTACTTCATGGGGAGCAGAAGCAGAGAGAGGGAAGGGAGTGGCCTCGGAGGAAGTTCTACCTGTCCAGGTCACACCCACAGTGACCTACCCCTTCGGAGTAGACTCCATCTCCTAACAGCAAGTCAGCAATAAGTCTCCATAATCCAACCAATCACCTCTCCAAAGCCCCACCTATGAGGAGTGAGGCTCTTGGGGGCCATCTAGACATAAAGCATAATACCTTCCTTTTAAGGCTGAGTGGCATTCGTACAGATGGTACAGATGGTTACTTGGTGGTATTGCTATTTACTTGTGTGTCCTGACACTCAGGTCCATTTCAACTTGTGGCGACTGCGAATAATGCTGCTCTCAGCACGCATGCACAGCTCCCTGCTCAGGCCTCTGCGGCTCATGCTTTGGGCTTGCTCAGAAGGGAATTGCTGATCGTAGGCGAATTCTCTGGTTAAATTTTTGAGGAACCACTACTGAGTTGTGTTTGCGTTTCCCTTGTATAGAATCACTTTATACCTGGTTGTGTCTTAAATACTTCCATTGCACAAGTGGGTGAAGGCTCCCTGGTACCCAAGAGCCTGCTCAGCTCTGCTTTTCCTTTCTGCCATGATTTCTCTGTAACTGAAGCTCAAATTCTGGTCCAAAGACCACCTGCACTTCTGAGGAACTGATAGAAAGGCAGAGTTTATTTATTTATTTTGTCTTGTTTTGTTTTGTTTTGAGACAGGGTCTCGCTGGCCTTGAACTTGCTTATGTAGCCCAGGCTGGTCTCGAACTCACAGCGATCCTCCTGCTTCAGTCTCCTGAGTGCTGGGATTACAGCCATGTGCCACCATGCCCGGCAGAGATGCAGATTTGAGACTTCCAGATGAAATGATAGAATAAAGTAAAAATCAAAGACACTATTTCTCTGAAATCAATCCAGATGGGCCATGATTGCAACCAAAGTGAGCACGGAGGAAATAGAAGTGCCCTCTGGTCTCGGTGTCGTAGTGCGTGGGAGGAGAACCTGGGCTGGCTGGTAGATGTCCCTCTGTCTCCTCAGCCAGAAGCAGCATTGAGAAAGAAGCTAATCACCAGAGCCTCACAAACTCGTCCTTCTGAGCGAGGAGGAATCTGGGGAAAGTGACAGGGAGTGAGGTCTGCCTACACCTGAGAACAAAACTTTGAGGGTCTTCGTGTCACCCGGTCACCTGCGTGGCACCAAAACTAACTCAGAGTGCCTCACCTCCTCCACAGTGAGTTAGCGCCCCAAACAAGGGAAAACTGTGATTTGGTGTAACTGTGTGAATGCACCAAGGGTCCGTTTCACTGCAAAACAGCCAGATTCTGGAAAAACAAAGACTTTAAGTGCACTGCTGGAGTCCCCAGCAATGAAGAAATTCTCTAAGGCAGTTCCCTCTTCTCCTCAAACGAAAAACACAAAGTAAACAAAAACAGTGAGCTGAAACCTGAGTTTTAGGCAAACAGGAAATGGCGTCAACCGTGCTATCAGGGCAAATGTTGATTAGCAGTTCTGAGGGTCTGAAATTGAAACCTTGGGCTTCTGGCAACGCAGAGCAGCTGACTTGAAATTCTCCTTTAATTTTAGGGGATCTAAATGGATTCCAGGGTGGTAAACGCCCTGCCTCCCAGGAGCACCAAATGCAAATCTCTCAGCAGAGAAGCATCTTAAATGATTAGTCACCAAACACACATAGTGGGATCATCAGATTGGGTACAAGATACAGCTATAGGAAAGACAGAGGCAAAATTCATGGTCACTCCCTCTCCTACTCTTCTTCCCCCTTCTTTCCTTCTTCCTTTATTTTCCTCATTCAAGTCAGAATGTACACAGAATGGTAGGTATTGGTGTCTCAAAGAAGTTGCAGATCATAGTGGAGCCTTGGTAAGAGATGTTGTATCTCTGATGCCTTGAAGGTAAAAGGATGCCCTTGGAGGAAAGAGAAAGATGCGCTGTCAAATATGAAAAAATCTTGGGAACCCCAAAACCACTCGCCTTGCCTTGCCTTGCCTTTCCATTTTAATGCAATCAGTGTTATAGTATAAAAACCCAACTTTGAATAAGTCTGAAAGAGCTCTTTTAATAAATATTAAAAATTCTAAGCCAGAAGAAGCATTTTGTCAGAGTTTAGTTGAGCACACCCCCAGGGGTATATGAAATAACATGTCTTACAGTTGATGCCATTTCGTAGGGTCTGGGAAACCCAGAAGAATATTGGCAGAGTATTGGAATCGTAGCGACCAGGGATTGAGCATTTACATAGCAGCCAGACACAGGAAGTGGAGTTTTCCCACCTCTTCCCTTCCTCCCAGCAGCCTTTGGGTGACTGTTGCTATCTTCGTGTACAAGTGAAGAACCTGAGGCAGAAAAATAAAACAAGTCATCAGAAGTAACATAGCTAGCATAGGGCAGCAGTGTTTTTTCCCCTGCTACTTTCTTCGCTTTTTTCAATTTTGAAATTTTTCAAGAAACCATTCAGGCTGGTAGGAAGAACTCTCACACACCTTTCAGGGGGAAAACCCCTCTGAGTTCCACGAAGCGTCTCAGTGGTGTCTTTTACAGCACAAGAGCCCTTCTGGGACCGTCCATGACATTTAGTTGTCACGTCTCTCTGCTCTCCTCCAGGTCAGAGTAGGTGCCTCGGTTTCTCTTGCCGTCTGCCGATTGTTCTTCAGAATGTCCCTCCATTTGGGTTGGCCCAAAGATGGGACCCTGATTATGCATTTGTGACCAGAATAATAGAGAACTGGTGCTGAATTATTCTCAGTCAGGTTGCCACTAACGAGGTTCACTGTGATGACTTAATTAAGGTGGTGTTGGCCGTGTGTCCCCACTGTGAAGTTATTGTCCTCCTTCTTTTGTTTGTTTTTGTTTTTGTTTGGTTTTCTTCTGGACCAGGAATCGAACTCATGACCTTGCACTTGCCAGGCAGGTGCTTTTGCCACTGAGCTAAATCCCCAGTCCCCCTCCCCTTTTTGTAGTCAGTAAGTATTTGGTGCAGAGACTGTGAAATTTCCTCATTCCATTGCCACGGCCAATCTCGGCGTGCAGTCTTGTTCCTTTAATTAATTATGATGCTACTGCTGCTGCTGCTGCAAAAAGCTCATTTTCAAATTACTATTGGCTGCTTACATCACCCCAGGTTTGGCCAACAAGAGCTCCTTACACTGGTCCATACTGTTAGCATTCTGTAAGACCTTCCCAGCCACTGTCAGATGCTCCAGCCTCATCCTGCCCTTGTCTTGCCCTGGCCTTGGACCCACCCATTTCTTCAGTGGCTTTGGTTCTTGTTAGTGGGCAATGGCATTTGCGGCCACAGTGTACTTGCTTTTTGCTGCTGGGGACCACTGTCCTCAGATCCCTTGGTGGGCAGAACCTGGGATGGATGGATGGATGGATGGATGGACATATTCACTGCTCTCTCTGTCTCTGTATCTATCATTTTGGAAACCATAATTCCACCCTGACACTGTCAACTTCAACGCCACACCACAAGGCTCACTGCAGCTCTCTTTCTGTCTCTCTGCAGCTCCCTTCCGGCCTGCTAGGATGCTGACTTCCATCATCAGGATATTTACTCGGCTCCTTACTTCCCTGCTACACCCAGGTAGCTCCCCTTCCCTGCCTGGTGGCTTCTTGCCCTGCTCTCATACCCTCTGTCATGGGGTTGGAGGGTGTTCTCCCAAAAAGACATGCTGAAGTCTGAACCCGTAGTGATCCCACAGTGATGTTTTTCGGAAATAGTATCTTTACACAGGGGATCAAGTTAAAATGTAGCCTAGCGTGAGCTCTAATCCAATATAAAAAGGGGAAATTTAGAGATAGAATCAGAACAGAAAAGAGGTGATAAGAAGTTAGCTTATGACTGGGATGACACACTTATGAGCCAAGAGTGACCAAGGATTACTGGCAAATGCCAGAAAAGATCCTCACCAGGAGCTACAGGAGACAGGGTGGGTCTGCTGCTACCTGGATTTTGAACTTCTTGCTCTCAGAATAGTGAGACAATAAATATATGTTGCTTTAAGCCACCCAATTCTTGATGTGTCACAATCCAAGGACCCTGCCGCACCCCTTATGCTGGTGCCTATCAGCACAGAGCTGCCTTTGGAACTGCATCAGGGCGGCTTGGTGACTGGCTAAAAAGGAAGGAAGGGGGGGAGTCTAGAAGTAGAATTTGAATACAGATCCACCTATATCTGAAGGCTGTGTCCTTAATGATTCTGCTCTTTTTACAAACTAATTGGAGAGACCAAAATAAGCCTATTAGCAGGCAGATCTTCATGTGTTCCCTGGTGGGGTCTGGTGTGCTGAGGCCTGCTGGTCAGACAGAGCCTGCATCCTGTTTTCTTTTAACCTGGGAGCTAAAAATGGCTTTAAATGGTTGGGGAAAAACAATCAAGAGAATAGTATTGTGCCATGTGGAAATTACATGAAATTAGTAAAATTTCAGTTTGTATAGTAGCTTTATGGGAACACAGTGATGCTCTGTCTTTTGTCCACTACATTTTTGCGTTGAAGTGGTAAAGCTGAATTCTTGACACAGAGGTCCTGTGGCCAGGAAAGCCATGTTCAGTACAGTATCTGGTCCTTTATAGAAAACATTGGCCAGCCCTGTGCCAGAGTAGACGTTCAAAGGGCATCACAGGGAGTACGAGAAAGAGAGATGACTTCCATGTAGGGCACAAAAGAAGATTCCAGGGGCAGGGGCGCTGGGCTGTGAAGGAGGATAGAAGATTTTAGCACTTATTAATTTATCATCCATTCATGGGTGCTGAGTGCTTGCCGTGTGCTAGTCACGGAACAATGTCATGGGTTTTACTGTTTGGAGCAGGTGATGCTCAAATGTCGCTCACCTTTGTGCTGGGAGACCCCACTCCCAGCGGAAGCCGGTAGAAGCCAGAGGCTCATCCCCTGGGAGGCCAGCAGGTGATGCACAAAGGAGCTGTCACCAGAGCTGGGCCTAGGAGAGCAGGCATGAAGGCTCTTTCCAGGTCGAGGGAAAGGAATACCTTCTTGGAGATGGTGGCATTTGCCCTAGGACTCATCACCCCTGGGATCCACTTGTTGATCTGGGCAACTAAAGAGGGTGCCAGGGAGCCAACGGGACCTGGAACAGGACTGAACCTAAACTTTCCCTTCTAGGCTCATAGGCAAACCAGTGGCACCCCAAGATCATGGCTAGTTAGAGGCTGGGTTGAGGCCAGCACTACCTTGTTGGGCCTAGAGGTCCCAGGAGCAAATGTGGGGTCTTGGCATTTCTGAACCTTTCTTTGTGCCACGCACCCTTTCTTCTGGAGCTTTAGGGAGAAACATCAAGGCATGGAGGAGGCTCAATAAGCCTCATGTCCATGGCAAACTCTGTGAGACCCAGCCCCCGCCCGCCCTCCTTCCCCTGAAGGACGTTTATTCTAGCGTCTCACATGCGCTAGTGTAGCTGCTCGCACTTCTGTCTCCCTTGCTAACCTGACAGCCAGTGAGGAACAGGGGCCACATTGTTAGCTTGTCGTCCCCAGTGATATGGAGTTGTAGATGCTCAATTAATGTTGGCTAAATGGAGCTGAACTGAATGGAGTGGATGGGATGGGATGGGGCGAGATCAAGTAGCAACGGTAAACACACAGGAGACGGCTTCAGCAACGCATGCCTCGGAAGGTGAGTATGAAAACCATGTTAATAAGAAGCAGAGCCTAAGGGGACTGGGTGGCAAGGAAATGGCAGGCCAGCTTTACAGGCCGTCCAGTGTCGGCCTCCTCGGGCCGAGGAAAACTCGGCATATCTGCAGGGCCCTGTCTATACCCTCTGTCACTATTTCTTATGGCCCACTTCCTCCGTCGATCACAAGTTACGGGCTCTTCCAAAGGTCTAATTATGAGTATTCGATTCCCTTGATAAGCCTTAGCTGGGAATCCGTCTGCAAACACCTTGTTGTTTCTTCTCCTCCTCCTCCTCTCCTCCTCCTTGTTGCCCTTCTCCTTTCCTCCTCTTCCTTCTCCTCCTCCTCTTCCTTCTTCCTCTTTAATTTTATGATATCTAAGTAGACTTCCTTCTTCTTTCTTGAGCAACTGCAACTACCCAAACCTCAATTCGTTATCTCCCAGGCACAGCCAGCCGCTGTCCTGAAGGTCCTTCCATAAACAATCGATGTGCAGTGCCTCTGGCCCTCTTACCATCCCTCCTGCCCTCCGATCTGAGTTTGTGCCCATTCTGGTGTGGCAAAGCCTCAGCCATCTGTGCCTCTACCTGTCCCTTCTGCAACCCCCTAGTCAGGCCTTAATCTTGTCTCCAGGAGCTTCCCATTGGACAGTCCTGCCTTGCATCCCTCTCTGCACCAGCCCTTTGGCACAAGGCCACCATATTGCCTGACCCTGCGCCACTCATGTTCTGTGGGGTTGGGGATGGCTGTGCAACACAGCGACCCTGAGTGGTCGCCAGAGGATCAATCAGTCTCTCCCTTACTCAAGGGAGCCCTCACCCCAGGATTCCCTGGGTGTAGACACTGAACCTTCCCAGGTAGAACACTCTACGCGCCTGCACCTCTCAGTCTTACGGCTTCCAGCTTCCCCAAACCAGGCCGTATTCTCCAGGAAAGCTCTGACATGGTTCTTCCCTAAGGCCTTGAGTCATCCATTCCCACTTCTCTCCCCTGTGTGTTTGGTACAGCTTCCCCCAGCCGTGAACATAGGCAAGCTTCAGCCACCTTCAAAGCCGAGCCCTTCCTCTGCCCCAGCGTCGTTCCCCAACCCCACTGTCTCCTCGTTCCTTCATTCCTGTACCTCACTCATCTGACCTTTCTCAGTCCTGCTGCATGCCAGGCCCTTGTTCCAGGCACATGGGACATGTCAGTGACCAGAACAAACCAAACTCTCTATCTTCAGAACCCCTATTCTTGCAGGGAAAATACTCAACCAACAATGACCCTAATGCATTACTAAAGGATAAAAAACAGAGAGTATTCTGGAAGGTGAGAATGAACATCATGTTAAAAAGAAGCATAACCGTTAAGGGGACTGGGCGGCAAAGAGACGGCAGGTCCCAGCTTTACAGGCAGTCCAGTGTCAGCCTCCTTGGGCAGAGGAAAAGCTTGGCATTTCTGCAGGGGTCTGTCTATACCCTCTGTCACTATTTCTCACTGCCCACTTCCTCCATCTGGGGAAGAGTCCCTACACTCTGCTCTGACAGGTCAGCAAAGCCCCTGCCTTGGAGGGCGGGAGACCTCAGCACTGGTGAACGTCCATTTCCCGACCCCCACTTGTGTCCAGTCTCCCCAACACCCTGCTCCCCTGTCTTCCTCTTGGTCTCCAGTGGGTCCTTCACAGGCTCGTTTACCAGCTCTATTTTTGCTGCTCATTTTTATAGCCTGTGTCTAGATGTTTCCCAAAGCCTCACGCAGCTTTAGATGGGGCTTTTTCTGGAGGTGGCTGACTCTAGAGTGTGTAATTGATTCATGGTGCAATGCTGGGATTAAGGGAGGGTGATTACTGGGTCAGTCCACTGATTGAATTGGCAACGCACTAATTCCAGTAGACTGGATACAATATAAGGGACAAAAAGAGGCGTATATCCCCCTTGCTTGATGCTTTTGCTGTCTCTGTCACCAGGAGCTATTTCTCCTCTGGGATCCCCCTCTCCCAAGCAGACCACTTTGGGGCCAGTCAGGTATGGACTGAAACCTCCACAAACAGTGAGCTAAATAAACCTTTCCCTCCTTAACTTTGGGTATTGAATATTTTGTCTCAGCAATGAGAGAAAAGTAACTCAGACACCATCCCTTAAGTGATGGTGTCTTTTCTAGGTCCCTGATGTGCTTTGGCTCATTCTGAACTGTGATTCTCCAAACGAGTGCCAACCCCACAAGCTGTGGACTGCACACCTCCGACCAGACCTGGCCTCTGGAGAGGGATGCAGGTCTTTCCCATTTATAAAAACTGAGGACCCTAGTCCCCAGCTTTCACTTGCTTAGCATCACTGTCTCAAGAATCTAGGGTCCCCTGGCAAAGCAGGAAGGAGGTGGTGGAAGGTTGGGGTTAGGACCTGGGATCTGGGGTAAAAGGAGGTACAGGACAAGGCTTGTGATGGGGTGAGCAGACCCTGGAACTATGGTCCCAAGGAGAGAGGCAGCCAGTGAGTGCGTGGGGTGGGACTGTCCCACTGTGGGCGGTGACGTTCTGTTCTATGTCAAAGTCTGTGATCCTGGTGGGGAGGGTTCCTGATTCACTGTTCACCACAGTCCAGGACCTCAGGGGACAGAACATTCTCTAGGAAGAGGAACAGGGGAGGAACACGCATGACAGTGTGAACAGGCAACTCTGCAGCTCATCACACACCCCTCCCCACCTGACCCATCCCAGGGACACAGTGTCACTGCTGGACCCCAGACGCCCTGCAGGCACAGGCTCCAAGCATTGCCTGTGGAAGACATGGTTTTTGGCTGCTCTGTGTTTACTGTCCACACGACCCCACCCTCCCCTATGTGAAGCTATGACCCACAGCCACGGAGCTCCAAGGAGAGCAGCCGTCAGGGTGAGGGCGCACAGAAGCCACCCACAGTGGATGTGGACCCCCCAGAACAAAGACACTGGAGGGATCGGGTCTCAGATACAAATCCCTGTCCCTCCACAGTCCCAGGAAAGCCGGACTTGATTAGCCTAAGCTACTTGTGGTCATTGTCTTGTACGTGACTGCTTCAAGGAGGGACACGTGACTTCCATCTGGCCATGAGGTATGAAGGGAGCCTCCTTGGGAGGGAAAATGTCATTTCTGCCTGTGGCCATTGTCCTCTGCATGTGACATCTGGAGCCTGTTCAACCGTTATCACCTGCATTCTGAGCTGTCAGAGCAGAAGGAAGGGAAGTATACTTGGATTCCCTACGGGGTTGAGACCCTGGGTCTCCCTGCAGAGTATGACTGCGTCCTCAGGCCCCCAGACTGGACAGTAACTGACTCCTTGCTGTTTAAACTGCTCTTGGGGTGTTTTGGCGGTATGCAGCTGACAGCACCCTTCCTGCTGCGTCCTTTTGCATGCTACGCATTCTGTTCCTTTTTGCAAAGCCTTTTTTTTCTGCTCCTAAAACCCTGCAAATATTCTTCCAAGTGAGACTAACCAGGCTGTGCTACTCCAAGTGCAACCCCCAGACCAACAGCGCACCGGCCAGCTTGTTAAAAAAGCGAAGCCCCAGGCTCTGCCGAAGACACAGTGAAGCAGCATCTCTATTGTAAGGAGATTCCAGGTAGCGGGAGAGCACAGCTTCTCTCAACAAAAGTGTTGAACGAAGCCACAAGGGGCCTTACCTAGAACTGCTACTTCCTGCATCTGTACTAGAGTTTTCATGACAGCGGGCGGCCAGAATGGAGTACACGCATGTGGCTTTGACCAAGCCCCTGACTTGCCATGCCCTGGCTCCCCCTGCTTCAGGTCTTTTCACTCCTGCAGGTGGAAGATTGTTAGCCAATCCTCCATTTCTGCTTGTACTATGGCTTTGTTTTGTCTTTTTTCCACACAAGAGCTGACTGCTGCACACTCACACTTACCACTTTAAGAAGTACAGCTTGAGTATGCTTTATCTGAACTGATTGGGACCAGAGTGTTGCCGATTTCTGGTTTGCTCAGGTGTTTGGAACATTTGTTGGTACATAGTGAGATATTTTGAGGATGGGCCCCAAGTCTACACATGAAGTTCACTTGTGTCACATACGCCTGACACACAGTACAGTATTTCTCGTGCATCTCCATCACGTGAGCTCAGGTGCGGAACTTCCCAGTCTCGTGTCTTGTGTGTGCTCATGAATTGCAGGTTTTGGACTTTGGGATTAAGGATGCTCGACCTGCACTTAAACTACTGAATTTCTCCATTTAGCTCTTTGAGACTTTTACTTCCTCATGGACCAGAGCTTCCTAGGTTGCCCACTGTGATCAGTACCCGCTACCTGCCACCAATCTTCCTGCCCTGTGACCAGTGCTGAGCTCCTCTGCAAGCCTTAGATCTCTAGTGTTAAAGGGGCTGTGAGTGTCACTATTGGCCAGCATTCACTCTTAATGCCCTGTTTTGGAACGTTCCCCCTGAAATTCTGTCTATTATACCTTGATAATCCTTTAAAACTCCTAGGAGCCAAAGCTTTTCATGCATTCAACCATTCACATGATGTTTGAGCTCACTAATAATAAATACTCCAATGAAGGAGCAGCTGTAATCATGACACCTTTTTGTTTTTGTCTTTTTGAGACAGGGTCTCACTATGTAGTTCAGGCTGACTTTGAACTCACTGTGTAGCCCAGGTTGGCCTCAGACTTGCAGTGATCCTCCTGCCTCAGCCTCCCGAGTGCTGGGATTGATTACAGGTATGCACCACCACACCCGATGATCATAACTCATAACCTAAAAAAATAAACATTTTCTTTCTGTACAGGCCACGAGGAAGTTCCCAGGAAGTAGCTGTTTCATCCGGAAGAAATTGGTCATCTTTTCCTTCATCAGCTGACAACCTGGCTAGGACTTTATAAGATGGATGGGATTCTACATCTTCCATCTACTTTAATATGATCTCAAATTCCTGCCTAATATGCCTTCCCTCAGGAATGCACTGGGGAGGTGGCCTCTCCCGCCAAGCTCGTCTTTGAATACCGGCACAGCCGCAGTCACGGCAATGTCATACAGAAGCTTGTCCAATAGTCTTGAGTTTCTAAATCCAGAAACAGGTAGAAAGCAAACTCTCTCCTCTTCTTACAGCTTAGACCTAGGTGTCCCCCCGAAACTTCATGTGCTCATAGACAGGGCTTTTGAAAGATGACTGAATTTTGGAGTGCTGTAGCTGATTTGCTGTTGGGGATAGGATCCGGTCCGAAGAGGTGGGTCGCTGTGGGTGGACCTGGAAAGGGTTATCTCCCTTTCCAGCTTCTCCTGTGACTCTCTGTGCTTCCCAGTCGCCATGAAGTGAGCAGCTTGTTCTCCACCATGCCCTTCGCCATCCGTCCTGCCTTGGTGCTAACCAAATATGAAATCAAAATACAGCTCCAAATAAAACCCTCCTCCTTTGAGTTGCAGGTGTCAGGTATTTTGTCCCAGCCATGGGGGAAGTGACTAAGACTCTTTACAACAAAACGAGCAGGAATCTGGGTGTGACGACACACGCCTGTAATCCCAGCACTCTGGAGAGCTGAGGCAGAAGGATTGCAAGTTCAAACCCAGCCCGGGCAATTCGGTGGCTTAGCAATACTCAGTCTCAAAATAAAAAATAAAAGGAGCTGGGGATGTAATTCAGTGTGAAGACCCTGGGTTCAATCCCCTGTACCACAGAAAAAGGACAAGGTGGGTGTGGGTACAGGGGTGGAGAGGTAAAGAAACATCAACCAAGTGGGTCATGTGAGTTCTCCAAATTTTCACCCGGGATCTACTACCTACTACTAGAAGCATTTGGAAAGAATAGTGATTTGCATTTAGGGAACTGGGAGGAGCCAGGATAGAGCCCAGAGGAGGAAAGAAGAGTTAGGGCTGTGAGGAGGCGGGGAGTGGTGAGGTCCGACTCCAGGGAGATTATGAGCCGCAGTCAGGATTGGGGACTTTGTCACAGCACCGAGAAGCGCTGAGTTTCAAGCAGGGCATCTTGTGATCAGAGCTGCTCTTTGGAAAGAAGGCTTGCGCCACAGGGCTGAGCACAGGGAGTGAGGAGGGGGACATCAAGTCATCATGTGGATGACGGTGCTGACTTCTTGGGCTCTGCTGGTGACAACGAGGGGGAGAGTGAATTGTAGAGGGGTTTAAGAGACAGAATCACAGGGCTTGGTGGTCACGTCATCTAGGGAACGTAGGAGCTGGGAAGGGTGGCACCAGGTGGGTGGGTGGGTGGTGGTGCCCTCATCAAGGTGGGGCGCTGGAACAGGTGGTGGGGACAAAGGCTCCCATGGCAGTTGGCATGGACCAGTGCTGGGCCGCACCAGGGAGGGGGTTCTTTCGGGATTTGTGGAGGGAACTAGCGTCCTTGGCAGTGAGCGCTGCTCTGCCATCCTGGCCTAGAGAGCCGGTCTGTGCTGGGCAGCCTAGGAGTCCCACCCTGCTTCCTGCTGGGCCATTTCTATGGCTGCACCGTGGGCCACCAGCGTTTCCTGGTCTCCGAAAGTACGCAGCACACAGCTCCCTTCTGCAGGAGCATCCTGAACCGAAAATGAGGAACTGCAGGGGAGGCTTCTGCCTCCACCCCATGAAACCATGGGTTGCTTTTGGAGGGTGGGCCAAGGCGGTGGAGGAGATACCAGGAACCAAGCGGTGTGGTTTAGAGTCCTGAGGAAGATAAGAGCTTGTCAGCACCTGATCTGAGGAGGGCAGATCAGACAGCTGCTCTGAAGGGACGAGTTCTAGATAACCCTCGCCCAACAGTGGCACCTGCTCCTAGCCAGGTCCCTGGCAGGAGACTTCAGAGCCCAGGGACTTTGGCAGTTACTAGGAGCAAGAAGAGTCATCTAGGACAGGGGTGTCCCTGGGCCAGGCTGATCACAGTGGCAGGGACAGGGGGATTGTTCTGAGGACAGGCTCTTCACAGGGAGCCAGGCCCTGGAGCACCAGGTGTGAGCCTTTAACTTGAGCTTTGTGGGCCAGGGCTCCTGCCGTGGGCAGGAAGGTGGGAATTCAACTGTCCCGTATGTGTGGACCCTGGCTCCCCAAAATCCGGCTGGCCCCAAGGATGAGAGGCAGTGAGAGCTGCTCACTGGATGAGAGACAGGTGGGCAGTCACTGAGGATGCCCAGAGAGGCCAGGCTAGGCTGGGGCCTGCATGACTTGGAGCCTGAGGCACGGCCCACATGAAGGTGAGAAGGGACTCCTTACCCTTTACTACTAGGAAGATGAACTCCACCCACCCCAGGGCTGCCTAACAGAGTGGCCCCGCAGAGGGTCAGCCCCACACAGCACCAAACTACCAAGAATACAAGAGAAGTCAGTGGTCTGGTAGCCCCAGGCTGGTCACCACTTTCCCCAAGAGAGCATGGGTAGTAGGTCCAGCATACTGACTTCCTGTGTCACCCCAGTCACTGGTAGAGAAGGGATGGAGCTTGAAGGTCACAGGACCCCTGTCCCTGTGCTGGGAATCTCCTCCCACGCCAAGCACGATCAGCGGGGACCTGTCCGGGTTGCGTGGGTGCTCACACTCCATCTCTAGTTTCAAACACCTCCTCCCCAACAGCCCTGGAGACCCTAGTTTGGGCCCAAGCACACTCCTCTCCTCTCTTTCTCTCTTTCTCTCTCTCTCTCTTTCTCTCTCTCTCTCTCTCTCTATCTATCTATCTCTCTCTCTATCGCTATCTCTGTTGCATAATTTGATTCCTTTGAATTGATAGCTGCCTGAGCACGATGGGGGAAGTGGTGAGCATGTGTTGTGGGGTGATTAGTGCAATCTGGCTGGGGAGCAGCGGGCACATGGTCACTCACACTGGAAGGACTTGGTGGCAGAGCGGGGACAGTTGAGGGTGAGGGAAACGAAGGAGGATGAGGGAGTGGGTTCAGTTTGAGCGGTCACCAACCCCAGCCTCCAAACCATCAAGGCCGCACCAAGATGGGGCTCCCCAGGGACTTGGTCCCCAGCACTGCTCCTTGTGTGGGCTGGTGGCTGGGTGGCCTTCCATGGAACTGGTCTTCCTGTAGGTGCAGAGACTCTGTGTTATTTATCGAAGGGACTTTCCCTCAGCAGCCCCAGAGTCCTTGCTCTTCAGCTGGTACAAGGTGCTCGGAGAACACTTGAGAGAACACTCTGGCTGAGGTTCACAGCTGCCACTGGACCCTCCTCGGACCCTGTGCTGCAGCATCAGTGGTGCTCGGCACTACCAACTGCTGCCATGGTCTTGGGGGCCTCCTGCCCTTTACTTCTAGGAGGATGAACCCCACCCACCCCAGGGCTGCCTAACAGAGTGGCCCTGCAGGGGGTCAGCCCCACACAGCACCACACTACCAAGAATACAAGAGAGGTCAGTGGCCTGGTAGCCCCAGGCTGGTCACCACTTTCCCCAAGAAAGCATGGATACCAGGTCCAGCACACTGACTTGCTGTGTCACCCCGGTCACTGCCAGAAGCCAGAGCCCTGGGAATCCCTCAGATCCAGGAACTCATCCCAGAGTTCTCACACATGTCCTCCTCAGGCTCCTGTTTGATCCCCCATCCTTTCCTGGGACTCACGGTCTGGCCAGAGCCGCCGTCTCCAGCTCTTCTCTGACCATTCCTTTTGCTCCTGTGATGGGTTGAATTCTGTTCCCCAGCTCACCCCTCAACCCACATGCTCTAAATGGCCCTACTTAAAGATAGGGACTTATGGAAGAATCTAGTTTAATGGGGTCACTAGGCTGAGCTCTAATCCCAAGTGGTAGAGACATTCAGAGAACACCACGCCACTCTAAACAGGGCCTGTGAGCAGAGAAGAAAGGCCTGGAGCAGATTCCTGCACAGCCCTGGGAAGGGAGCAACCCCGCTGACACTGGCCTCAGGCCTCCAGCCTCTGGAACGGAGATAATGCGTCCCTGTCACTTCAGCCACCCACTGCTGGCACCGTCAAACAAGCCGCTCCTGAGCTCCCTGACATGCTGCACCCCTCTCCAGGGAAGGATGCTTCTCTCATGTTCCCGTCTCTGCTGATGCTTGTTTGAAGTTCAGAGCAGCGGATTCTACCCTGCCCTTCAGTGCTGAGAGCGTGTCTTACCAAAACAGTATAAAGCTGTTAACTAAATAATAAGAGAGAGAGAGAGAGAGAGAGAGAGAGAGAGAGAGAGAGAAAGAGTTGAAGATACCATGCAGGTAGCAACAGCCGGAAGCAGCCAGGCTGTAGAACAAAGGGAAGGGTTCAGAATTGCAAAAATTTAGAAATGAGGAGCAGCTCAGTGAAGAACCTCAGGCATCCGGGTTGGGGACACTGTCCAGCTGGTGCTGGTGTCTTGGGCGGGGGAAGCCAGAGCCGTTCTGCTAGTGCTGGCAAAGCTGAGAAGCTGGCACAGAACCTCTCGTCCCCCAGCCTCATCTCTTGCCTTGGAAACCAGCTGACAGCGACGGTGTGGCTGGGGAGTCCTGGACAGCATCGCAGCCAAGCAGAGCAAGGAAGGCCAGACTTGGAGCCAAGACAATCGCTTCATAACCGGCCCTGGCAGGTTATTTATGTGGGAGGAAAACAAGGAAATGAGCTGAGAGCAGATTGGGAAAGGTTGAGTTCCTGTGGCCAATTACTCAGGGAATTCCCTGGGATTTTCTGTTCCAAGCACACCGAGAGCCGCGGAATGACATCTTTCCAGAATATAGAAAACAGAATCCACACTGGAAGCAGCCCTGCACAGCCCTCCCATGCAAAGAGACCCAGAGTCACCTCTGTGACAGGAAGACAAGGACAAACCGAGGCAGCGGTTTGCAGAATCACACAAGATACAGAATTGTCCCCACGACGTCAGCAGAGGTGTTACAACTAAATAAGATGAATATGAACAATAACTCATAAAAGAAGAAAGGTAAACGTGAAAACAATATTTAACCAAGTGCACCGATAGCATTGGAGCCAGGCTTTCTCGGTCAATTTCTTTCTTTTTTTGTTGTTTTAGGAATACACATTTATTAGGTGGTTGAGAGCTTCTATTCTTTTTTTTTCCTCCCATCTCTTGGACCCATTCCCATTTGCAAAAGATCTACCCTGCTGTTTCCTATTATCTATCTTCTATTTTACGCTCTAAATTATTTATACTTTGGGTTTCTCCTATGAGAGAAACAGTGTCATATTTAAGCTTGTGGTTCTGATTTAGTTCACTCAGTATTGTTGTCTTCCTGCTTCAGATTTCAGAAATATTTTGTCGTTTCTGCATGAGGCTGACCTTGCCCATCCTAAGATACTTTTGTTGCTGTGGTATTTCCTGCTCCAGCCCCCTTCCAACACACACACACACACACACACACACACACACACACACACAGACACACACACACTCACACACACATGCATGAATGCATGCACACACTCTTACACTGATCTGCAGGTTCTGTGACTTGGTCGCGTGGATTCCGGCTTCTGCCTGCCCAATGT